AGGCTCACTGCAACCTCTGACTCCCTGGTTCAAGTGATTCTCCTGCCTTAGCCTCCCAAGTAGCTGGGAGTACAGGTGGCCGCCACCACGCTCAGCTAATTTTTGTATTTTTTAGTAGAGACAGGGTTTCATCATGTTGGTCAGGCTAGTCTCGAACTCTTGACCTCAGGTGATCCACCTGCCTTAGCCTCCCTAACTGCTGGGATTACAGGCGTGAACCACCGCACCTGGCCCAAAACAGCATTTTTCTGGTCAAGAACGCCTTGAGACCTGAGGCAAGTGTTTCACCTTCTATGAGTTTGGATCACTCACAAGGAGCATTTTTTGTTGCTTTAGTTCTTATTTATTTGTTAACTTATTTGTTAACTTATTTAGTTCTTACTTGTTAACTTATTTCTTAGCTTCATAAAATTGTGTTCAACGCAAAAAGTAAAAAGAAAAAAAAAAAGGAAACATGCCTCCATTTCATTAAAGTTAGTAAAACTGACCTCAAAAGGAATCAACCCTAAGCAGGAGTGATTAAGACAAAACCATTACAAACATAGGCATATGCTGGTAGGAAGGCAGGATGCCCCTCAGAACCCCTCTCACCTTGGCTTAATGCATAGAATCCAGACAAGGTCAGGGGCTAGGGTCTGGGGCTAGCTCAGAGAGTGATGGATTTCAGCTGTCAGCTTCCTTCATCTATTAGCATCTACCATCACCATCAAATTGATATTTGATGTTTTTAAGTGCTTACTATATGCTAAGCACCGGCCTAAGTGGTTTGTAAGTTTTATTCCATTCAATGTTCAAAACAACTCTAAGGTAGGTACTAATATTCCCAATATATAGAGGAGGAAACAGAGCCACATAGGTTGGTAACTTCCTCAAAGGCAATAAGAGGACAGACTGGTATTAAAACATACTCCGAGTCCAAATCCTGTGTGTTTAAACCATATACAGTATTGTCTCCTATTCATTTCTAGGAGTTTAGGAGCCTTACATTTAAAAATGAGCATTCTGTGATGCATGTATTTTTTTCTGACTTTTACATTGCACCAGTACAATTAGTTTATATATGGTTTGCCCTCTGCCAGCTTTTCTTTGGACTCATTTGTTAATGACCATGCTTTTCACAATCAGGGTGTTATTTAGGCCCAGAATTCTAAGTAGCATGCATTAGGGAGTGGTAAGAAGTGAATGACTGCTGGAAATTGATGACCTATCTGATTGCCTTTAGGTAGCAGTGCAAAAGAGAACCCATTTTCCTTATGGCATCTCTCAAGTGTACAAATGAAGCATATAATACAAGGACACTATAGGTCATCCTAATCATCAGTCACCTTAGAACTCAGTTCATTTTATCTAAGATCATTTTGGATGCAAAAGTTTACCCTCTAAGTGCTTTGAAGAGTACTGTCTCAAAATTGATTATTTCCCTTTGTGTTATTTCTGAAGGACATCATAAGCCCACTAGGCATATCCTTCCTGTGTAATTCATCTCTTTATATTTCGCTTATTATGTAATTTTATTTCCTTAGAACTTCTACTACAATTCACATCAAATAACTGCCATATTTGGGCCATCATTTTTTTTTCTCCTCTACCCCTTTTTCTGTTTGCTAAATTTTATAGATGATTTTGCAATTAATATTGAAATCTGTTATTATGAAATAGCTTTGTAAATACAGAAGGAGAAAAATCCATCTTGCTAACACATAAATGCAATCTGCATATATAGGTTCAATGTGCCAAAAATCAAAACAACACCCTCAAACACTTTTAATATGTATTGTAACAATAAATAAATGGGAAGAAACAATAAACAAATATAAATTCAGTTTGGAGCCAGGAAGTTCTATATTTGGGGATGAGTCTACCATTTAATTGGGCTGGAAAATTCTACAGATGCAACTGAAATTCTACTCGCTCACTGATGTAATCCCTTATTAATCAGAGAGGAAGAAACCTATCATAGGACTGTATACTACAGAAACAATGATACAGACACATGCGCATACACACACACGCCCATAAACAGGCCACTCAAAGTCCACTACTAAAGGTGTAACTCATCCTGAAATGAAAGGTTGAAGGAAAGATACACAAAGACTATATGTTTCTATTAAAGTCTCCAGGTCCGTAATAGCATTAGGGTATCTCTCATCTGGCGTAAAAAGAACACCTCAACACTTCTAAAATGACTGCAGGTGACTAGGGTTAAATGTGAACATTTAAATAGCATAAGGAGATGCCAATGCTATGAAATAGGTAACTCTAGATTACCTGAGCTACTGTGGAGTTTTAAACACGCATAATCACAGTAAGCTCTGTATAGACTCAGAACTTCTTGAGGGCAGAGGGATTTATATTCATGGTCCCTGACCCTTAGATGCAATGCATGGTTAACCAGTAGCCCTTAGGAGCAGCCTGGGCTTATCATGGAGAGTGGAGTTGCTGGTGTCTGGTGGTAATAAAGAACAGACTCACGTTTAGTTAGTTTTATAACTGTTTAAAATGCTCAAAAACGTACTCTCTATGTCTGCACCTTCCTTGGCACACAACTGCCACATTTGACAGTGTTTATTTCTCCGGGGTCTCTTGTCCTATAAGAGTCGTGCAGTGATGCCTGCTAATGGATCACAGCCCAGTCACCATGCTTCCATTTCACCTATGTGCCATGACCCTGTGCATCCTCATGGCAAGGGCAATAAGCACGGGCTGCAAAGAGGAAGAAAGGAAACAGGAAGGTCCTGGGAACTATGCAGATTACGAAGAGGTGAAAGGGTCTAGAAACTCTGGTCTATAATCTGCATGTTTTCTCTATCAATCCTGCCTTGTTGACAAACATTTGCTTTCTTGATAAAAACTTGGTAACCACTATATTCAGGCTGCATTCTGGCAGTGAGCTGGGCACAAATACTCTTTAACGAAACATTTATCCTGATTCATTGTGACCTGGCCACCATTCTGGCTTTGACCTCCCTGATTATGGGACCACTGTGGCAAACAAAGATGAACCTCATTATAGAACTAGGGAAGAGACAGCCAAAATGTACAGTCAACAATGGATCTCTCAGAATGAGTAACTTTCTCAGATTGGCAGGCAAAAGTCTGGCAAATGTGCCCTTTATCCCTGTGTTCTGCTGTGTGCCTCCTTTGCCCTGAGCAGCTAGCTGTATCTGAATGGTACACACTCCTACAGTTACAGAATGTCTAGGTTACTTGATTCTGTAATCTGGAGAGGGCTAGAACTGGATGTCAGTCCTAAAACTTCCCCCAAGCCTGGTTCTTTTAAATAGGACTGGACAGAGCATTGAGAAGGAAGACTTTATCTGATGGCTGAAGATGTGTTCATGGATGGGTGGGAAGCTAGTTAGTTATTAAACAGATCATTCACTGCTGAGCCACTCTGCAGGGCTCTGTAATGGGCAACACAGTCTCTCACCCCATGTTGCCTTGTACTTTCCCTTATTTTATATTATAAACAAGCTTTACAGGTTAGCATGAAGACGGGAATAGGCTGTGTGAAGAAACAGACTGTGCCTACCTGAAAAGACCTTTGCTAACATCATAATTTCTGTTTTACATGTCAAGAAGCATTTCTTTTTCCTTGGCTCTTGGGCTCATGCAGGGAAGAATATCATCATCATTTTCTCTGGTGGTACCCAGATTAGCTGGCATGGGCTGAGCTCAATGTCTTGCCTAAACTGAAAAGTAAATTTGGGGAAAACTAAAAAGAAATAGATAACTATGGAAGCCTGTCTCTTCTTGTGAAATCATGCAGTTGAACTCATTGCCAGTGGACAGGTTGGCTTGTTTACAGACAAAGGAAGTCTGGGAAGCTGGTTAGAGCTGTGGATCATGTCTTCTGAAACATCAATCAATAGCTGTCACGTTTCGTTCTATACTATATGTATTCTTTATTTCCTATCCTTAAATTATTACCTCTCAAATGGTAATCTTGAAAACTGAAAAACGTGCAGGCAATTCAAAGCACACATGAAATTAATCATTAGAAAAAAGATGCTAATATGTGAGTGTGAAACACTCTGGCCAAAATATACTCCATCATTTTCTTCTACACAGTAGACCAATATATAGAGAGGGAGTTCTCACCTGGAGTCTTAAAGTTCCTTAGCTGAGAGGGAGTATCATAAACTTCAAGGACCCAGTCACCAGCAGCTCTTTCCCCCCAGCAATGAATGGTCATGAACTCCCAGTTTTTAAATCCTTCCATGGAGTGATCAAATAGCCTGAAAGAGAACCATAAAACATTGCTATGTGCAACATTTCAAATCCAGTGAGGGTCTAGTTAAGACCAAGATCAACACTGTTTTTTGTACCGATTAGCAAGTTCAGCTGGGCACTGGAGCTGGTCTGCATCCTGGATGTCACCAATTTGCAGATATATATATATACACACACATACATATATTTAAATCACTGTTTTACCACAGAGAAACAGAACTGGAGCTGGCTATGTAACAGCAAATCTGGAAGGGAGAACCCACTGGGGATCAGGAAAACCAGGTTAAGACTCTACCTACAAGACTGACAGTAGAGTACTGAAGACGTGGAGGAACTGGGGCTCTCTTATACTGCTGATGGGAGTGCAAAATGATACGAGGTTCTGGAAAACAGTTTGACAGTTCTTATAAAGTTACACACACACCATACAATTCAACAATCCCCTCCTACCTATTTAAACAAGATAAATGAAGACATATATTCACACGAAGAACTTCATATGAATGCTCATAATTCCCCAAAACTGTAAACAACTCAAGTGTCCATCAACTGGTAAATGTGTAAATTGTGGTACAGTCGGCCCTCTGTATCTATAGATTCTGCATCTGTGAATTCAATCACAGATTGAAAATGGATGACTGTATATCCATATCACAAACTACCCAGTAATAACTACTAATACATACCATGACATAAATGAATTGAAAAAAACATTATGCTAAGTGAAAGAAGCCAGACACAAAAGACTACATACTGCATGATTCAATTTATACAATATTCTAGAAAAGGCAAAATTGTAAGTAAAGAAACAGATCAGTGGTTGCCAGGGGCTAGGGAGGAGTGAGGAAAAGTCATGGAGAATTTTTGAGGGTGATAGAATTGTTTTGTATGTTGAAAGTAATGGCGTGTGGCTATAAAGCAACACAGATTTGTCAAAACTCACTGAATTATTCACATAAAAAACTGAATTTACACTGTAGGTAAATTATGCTTCAGTAAAAAGACTGCTCACTAATCTTATCCAGTTCAAGGAGCCATGCTTGAAATCCCAGCCTACAACCTGCTCTTTCAGCCCTTCCAGTGATTTCCAAAGCTTCAAATTTGTAGTTTAAAATCACTTGTCGCTTGAAATAGCTAGAATTATTCTGTTTCCTGCAATGGAATCCTGAAAGATATAAAGTATGAAGGGAAAGAAAACAAACAGATTCCCTTTCAAGAATAAAGAGACATTAATAATGTATAAAATTAACATATTAAGAAATAAGTGGGTACGGTGGTTCATGCCTATAACCCTAGCACTTTGAGAGGCCAAGGTGGGCAGATCACCTGAGGTCAGGAGTTCCAGACCAGGCTGGCTAACATGGTGAAACCCCGCCTCAACTAAAAAATACAAAAATTAGCCAGGTGTGGTGGCGCACCTGTAGTCCCAGCTACTCAGGGGGCTGAGGCAGGAGAATCCCTTGAACCCGGGAGGCAGAGGTTGCAGTGAGCCGAGATCACACTACTGCACACCAGCCTGGGTGACAGAGTGAGACTCTGTCTCAAATAAACAAACAGACAAACAAACAAACAAACAAACAAACAAACATATCGCTGATGCAGGTCTATAACGTAGACTTGACTACCCAAATAAATATCCCAAAGACACAGAAGACACTTTCTGTAAAGATGAAACCTACACATAGTAGAAAGTGGAAGATGGGGCAAGTCCTTTTTTTTATAGTACTTTAAAAAATTATGTTCATCTATTATTTCACTGAAAAAAATAAAAAAAATAAAAATTATGTTCATGTATTATTTCACTGAAAAAAATAAATAAAAATTATGTTCATCTATTATTTCACTGCAAGTGAGAGAGGCAAACAGGAAAAATATCTCTAAAATTTTCTTTGGGGTAATCATGTCCAGTCACTGGGATATTTCTCTCCTTCAATGGGGACAAATGGTAACAAAGGTTATGGTAACTGAAGTTTGATGGTTATTCAAAACACACAAATCAACTGTCTTTGCTTTAATCTCATGTTTACCAGACAAATTGGTGGTTATAATTTGACCTTCTCTGTACTTCTTCCCATTGAGAGAAAATGTGCCCTTCTAAACATAAAAGTAACTAGTTCAATTTTCTTATAACAATATATTAGAACTCTGATTTTTTAAAAATGTATTTTGTCAGTGTGTCTGAGGCTCTTTCTAAAATGCCAGCAGGATTCTAAAGCTAAGGGTTCAGAAACACAATTTTGGACCGTGATATAGGTTGCACTTTGCAATGTTACCTAGAGAAAAGCAATAAACAGGAAAATCACCTGCTATATGTTCCTGAACCCTTGAAAGACAGAAAAATGAAAATTATTAGGCAGCATTCTCAGGTGTCCCATGGTCAAAAAATTTGGGAAAGGCTGACTCAAACAAAGATGGATAGAACTCTTTAATAGAGGACATCTCAGGTCTTTAGAATATGCAAATATGTTTTGTCAATTTCCATAACAGGGTTAATTGGGAGGCAGTGATTTTCAAACTTTACCTGGACATGAAGCCTATTCTCTCGCTGTTTTTAGGATATCTGTATATGATCTATAATGGTTTCCTCTCGAAATAGAGGAGTGTGGCACTTCAGTGAGGAACCAGGTTGGATCTGGCAACTTTGGCTCATAATGACAAGGATGAAGATGGTAGCTTTTTACATGAATATTTTCCCACTGGAATGGGTCCTCAGTAGAGAAAGGATGGTGCACTTTATGGAGATCCTACAATCCACTGAATGACCACAATCGGCTCATTTCACAAGTTTATAGCTTAAGACTAGACTTGGGTAAGAAGAAATGGCTGTGTCATTATATACTTAACTTACATCCATTGCATCCTTCACTAAAAACCCACAACATGTGTATGTTGGGCAAAAAGACAACAAAGAGAGGGGAAGAGGAGCTTTTTCAAACTGCCCTTTCTAACAGAGAGATGTTGTTAAAGGGAATATGTTGATACAGAAATGGCTAGAGGCAGAAACGCAGTTTAGAACCACTTCCTTCCTTAAGTTCCACAGCTCCAGCTTAAGCTCTAATTCGTTGAGGCCATGGTGCCATTTGAGGGCACTGAAGCAATAACTTGTCACATAATACCTCTCCAAGAGTGCTGAACTTAAAAGCAGTTCCCAAACAGTTTAGACAGAACATTTGGCTCATTGCCTCACATCCAAAAACTACAAAGGAGACTTGAAGCTGCCATCACATGAGGGGTAGTCTTGTTTCCACAACCTCAGCCAACTTTTAATCACCCATGGGTCAATGATTTGACTGCTGGATTAGCAGACCCTACGTTTCTTCCCTTCCACCCTTTCCTGTCCACCTTTGAAAGTCATTCCATGGCTACCAATCACTTTTAAATCACATCAGGAACAAAAATCAAATATAAACCGAGTGCCAAGAAGAAATACCCACAAATCAAAATTCAAATAAGTGTTTCAAAGCCCATAAATGGGCTTTGTCTATGTGGCTAAGCAGTTTTCCACTCCCCTGGTCTCTTCACATTATTCAGAATTGGAAAGTTCATTAATTTCATGTGAATATAAGAGTTGAGGAGAAGAATGAAAATACAGCCAAACACGACCATCACATTTTGCTGAAAGAGTTGATGGGGAGAAAAACAGGCATGGACGGATGTTGTCACCTAACTGGGCTTCACATTTCTAGTTTCATTCTGTCCTTTATAAGTACACATTGTTGTGTCTTTTAACCTGGATTCAATAGTTCAGCTACTTCTTATTTTCTACCATTGTAACATTAAAGGAAACTGCATCTCTGCGTATAACAAAAGGTAATATAGCTTGTAGGTGTACTTTGTTTGCAAAGAACATACTTGCTTAAGACAATCAAGTGTCAAACGATGGACACCTGCTACAGAGATTCCCATTGTGGGATCTTTTTTTATCAACTAAAAAGTTTAATGCCCAGTGTGAATGTCTGCGCTGTGCCAACAGTGAAGAAGTCAGACACATGCCAACATTGTTAGTGTGGGTAAAATGTCAATAAAGCAGAGCCAGTGTGCTGAAAGCCTAAATAGATTAACTCCATGCCTTTATCCACTTCTCCTCTTGCAGTGCAATTCTGTCCTGTCAAAGTTGACTTCATAATCATGTGCTTGATGAAACGATATATGCATGTGATGGCACAAATTATGCATCCAGTTATTAAAATGGTGCCCCACAGCCCTATCCTTGCAAGTGGTTTCCAAATCAATTACTTTGGATGAAGCCTGGTAGAAAAGAGGACCATCAAGTGTAGTATATCCTTTTGAGGAATTAACTCAGGAAATAACTTACATAATTACTGTAAGCTTTATTTCCTTTCCTCTTAAACAGTCTAGCCAATGTATCAAGGCTATAGCACTCTTTTATGATGTTATGGCAACTAAATCACAAGATGTTTTATAAATACTGACAGCTATGTGTTATCATATAACTATTTCTAAAATTGTAAATGGATCTTAGTTTCAGAATCATCCACTACTATTCAAACAGTATTAATGTTCACTACAGAACTAGACATCAGGACAATATTCCTGGAAGTTTTCTCTTCTCTCTCTCTATTTATTTATTTGTTTATTTATTTATTTATTGAGACAGTCTTGCTCTGTCACCCAGGCTGGAGTGCAGTGGTGCGATCTCAGCTCCCTGCAACCTCTGCCTCCTGGGTTCAAGCGATTCTCCTGCCTCAGCCTCCTGAGAAGCTGGGATTACAGGTGCCTGCCACCACACCTGGCTAATTTTTTTTTTTTTTTGTAATTTTAGTAGAGATGGGGTTTCACTGTGTTGGTAAGGCTTGAACTCCTGACCTCATGATCCTCCCACCTCAGCCTCCCAAAGTGCTGGGATTACAGGTGTGAGCCACCAGCACCCGGCCTTATTTTTTATTTTTTTAAAATGCTTCATTACAATTGAAGGTAGAGCTCAAAGAACACATCCGGCTCCCCTGTAGTTGAGTTTTTTGTTTTCTTTAGATGTTTGGTTTTT